TCCTCGTTAATCTCGAGGGTCGCATTCGACACTCAAGTGTCGGCTGACACGCGCCTTGAGGGCTAATCTCTTGACGCAGGACAACCGTCAAACGCGGTTGAAGACCACACACCCTCCTCTGCACTCTCTGCAGAGCAGGTGGTACACAGGTCCATACGTGTGGTGGCAGTCGTTTCTTACTGCCCCGGAGATGAACCCCTCTCCAGGCCTGGGCAGAGGTCAAGGGGTTTGACTTTGACGACTGCCACGGACTACAACGTCCAATTATAAATCTTAAAAAGCACGAATAGACCGAAGGTTCTCTTTATCCCAAAAGAAAACAAAACCTTGGGGTACTCTTCCCTTTTCTTGTGGTGTTAGCGGCCTATAGTAATCCCAAACATTCGTCCATATGTGCTGGTCCCCTTTGATCCCATAACTTTTGAACACTAGGGTGGCAAAACGTCGCGCGCGGGGTTCTAATATAAAGCTACGCAGCTGTAGGCGAGTCTCATACCAACCAACGATGCCAACCATATGTGGTAATCGCGGCTTCGGCCTTGCGATATTGAATGGCTGAAGGAATATATTGTGAGGGGTTACCCCGCACGATATTGAACGGCTGAAGGACATGTCGTTCGGTCCTCGCGACATTTCCGCCTTCAGGGTGGGTTGCCTCGACGGGCAATGCAAATAGGCTTTGTACGAGGGGGAATCCTTCCCCGGCAGAGCCTAGGGCTTGGAATGTCATGGACAAGGACCTTGAATCCCGGCCCAAGACCAACGTTCGCGTAAGAACCCCCCCAAGAAGCAAAATAAATACAAGGAAGGGTCTCCCCCGTGCCTCTCAGTCTTAATCTCTGAGTAGGCTTTTAGTACGGGGCCCCTTAGCCTAAGCAGACTTTCATCCCAAGTACACTCGTGTATACATATATAAAGAGGTAGGTATGTGACGATCACTTCTCACAGTCTCAGTGGGGTTCCTCACAACTATATGTATATACGTGATCGCAGGCAGTCAAATCCATGATCTAAGTTACAGCACATACCTGCAATCACATCGAAGAGTCAAACAACAGTCCACGCACTACACGGAGTCAACCCCAACCAATCTCTGCACTCACACCCCTCGCTTTAGCCATCTTCTCCTTCATCTGCACGCACCCGGCATCAACCCGTGTCCGGTTTATTTGTCTTCATGCTGCTTCGTCTTCTTCCGCCTTTCCTTATCCTTCCCCACGTCGGATTCAGCACGGCTAGCGCCCCGTGGCTCTGCACGAACGCGAAAGCCTGGTCGACGGGGAACAAAACAACAACTGAAGAAAAAAAACGAAAAACTTCTTCCCATTATATGCGCGTCAACCCAGCGTAGGGGCCGAGCTATTCTTCTCAGTATCGTTCCAATTTTTACCGGATGTCCCGAAGGACAATACCTGGGCCGCCGAGTCAACAGGCGACTCAGAATATTTGGTTTTACTCAGCAACCAAGTTCCGTCACCCGGATTCAAACACGGGTTTGTATTTCCACAGCTCGTGGGTGTCCCTTCTGTGTTTTCGCGTTCACATACGGCGCGATAATAATAATAACTAAATAAAATTAGAAATAATATATATATACATATATAAAAAACAAGCGGTAGTCGGGCAAGGACCACGACAGCCCTCTCAGCCTGCCCGTCAGCCCCACGCTCGGCCCCGCGGCAGCAAAAGGAGGGGGGGATAGTCCCACAGACCCATCAACCCCTCAAGCCTTTTCGCCACGCTCCTCCGCTCCCTTGCCGCATGCTGTTGGCCTCAATCCCTACGCCTGCTGCGTACAAGTTCGGTGCTATAACCTATAGGGCTAAGCCCAAGCCTGGTACCAGCAGGCCTGACTCACCTAATAAAGAGGTAGCCCCTGGCCTTTTGGGCCAAAGGAGTCACCCCATGCCATTTCCTAACCCGTACTAACATACATGACCACAAAAAAAAAAGTTGCGCCGACCTCCCGACCGCACCGCGGCTACCCTTACCCGGCCGAATCCATCAGTTCCCATCATCTGGATTCCATGTAAGTCCACACTGGCTCACTGAACCATCCAACATACTATGCGGAACCAGAGAACGGAGCGTCCCTAAGTTAGCTAGTTTAATCAAAACAAAACGACTGTTATGATAGAGCACGTCGGCGAACATCTACGACATGCCTTCTATCTCGATCAAAAGGGAGAAAATCACGCGCGCCTCAAACCTGCACGCCCACACACTCCCTATTTCTAGGTGTTACTGTCAAACCTTTAGTCCGCACGCCCCCCCAACTTGTGCAGTCTTCTCATAAATTCTGAATCGACCTATTCCTTTGTCAACTACAAAAACCCAGTGCGAGTACCCTTGTAAGGGTATTCGCACCGACAGCTTACCGGACCATAATAAGCGACGTCCCCATCGCTTACCGGCCCATATCAAGCGACTCCCTCGTCGCTTCGCAAGATCGAAAAAACTATCAGATTACCGAAAATGCTGATGAAAATAGGGACCAATCCGATTAGCCGACAGACCTGAGGTGGAGGCTTCCATCAAAACATGCCTTTGCAACTATATGCTGCCAGGGTTCCAATCCGGGTCCCCATCGCCGCTGTCAATAGGATACTGACAGCATAAGTTTCAAAGGTCTTCCCAATTATCCTCTCACCCCGGCCCAAGACAACCTTCGGCTCCTTGTTGGGTGTCCCTGGTCATGGCTAAAACTAGGGACAAGGACCCTAACCGAGACCTTTGAAGGCACACTCGCCTTCCTTTCCAAGAAGTTTCTCACAATCAAATTCACATATGTATATATATAATCTTCATTCGGCTCTTTCTGCAGTCTAGTACAGAAAGGTCAAGTCTCCATCTTGGCCCACCATAGCCAGGCTGATCAGACCAGGACTACGGCCCACCGCGTTGTTATCTAGCAGCAGTACCCTCGCTGGTTGCGCAGCGATGAGCTTTCCCCTGATAACCATCCAACCAGGGCTTCCAAAAAGACTTGACTCTTACCCCGCGAAGCAATTTCCCTGGGGCGGGCAACTCCCCGTAAACTCTTACTCCGCGGTCCCGCAGCCAGGTTGCGCCGGCTAGCGCCATCCAATGGGGTTGCGCCCTAGTGGCGCTAAACTTCTTTTCCGTTAGCTTGACCTTCCTTCAAAATGTCTCAGAACTAGCACAAGTGGTTAAACAAGGCGCTTCAAACAAAAATCACGGGCTTACTGCGAGGTTACGCATGGGCCTGAAGACATTTACCAGCTCTCCCTCGAAAGGCATGGCATCCTTCACACAAATCACAAACATAATCACCACTAGGTCCACAAGGTCGTGACCCCTGACTTGATCAGAGCCAGCAGCCACTCATCCTGAGACATCTCTCGCCCTATACCCATTACAACCTTCCCAAACACTCCAAGCAAACGTGACCCTTTTCGTCAGACTTTATCATTCATCAGACAACTCACCATGCCATTAATCAGTCCACCCACCTTTGGGGGTGAGTCTTCCAACAGCCCAAAACCACCCCCTTTTCCAAAAATCCAGGGGATTTCATCTCAAGGCAAAACACCCCCTCTTCCAAAAATCACGAGGGGTCTCATCATAAAGTCAAACATCCCCCATTTTTCCAAAAATCTAAGGGGGTCTCATTATGGAACAACCATCACTGAGAGACCATCTTATGGGTCCTCGTCACAGCTTAAGCAATCAAACATTCAGCATGATAAAGCACTCGGGTCTCAAAGACCCACAAATCCCTAAGGATCCTTACGATCACGCACGAACAGACTGCACTCCCTCTTCTTATACTCTGCCCTATCCCCCGCCCGTAAGCAGGCCGCACGAGTATACCGAAGAGTAGATTGTTTCACATAACTCACATCCATTAACATGAGATGCATCCTGAACATGTCTCACACAAAACCATCATCCATCAGAGTAAGAACCACACATGTGAGTGTGAGTATGATCGTCATACACAAAGAATAGTTTTCGAAAAAAATCTCGGTTTAATATGCACTCATGGATAAAAACGCCCCGCACACAAATGTCTCCAAGCCATAGCTCACTCGTCTCAAACAAATTCAAACTCACACTAGTACTACCCTCAAAGTACATGCTGGGTTTGTCTCTCAAAGGTCAGGGTGTAGGCCACCTAAATATGTACACGCCCCATCTATCACGTCCTGACCCTCAAGATGACAAACTCAGTAGAAGTCCAAATCCAAACCATCTATCAGATACAAGTGAACATCTACGCCTAAAGGATGCCATCTAATCCTAAACTCAGGTCCTATATACAACAAACCAATCATATAGGTAAACCAGTCCTACTTACTCATCTCCTCCTGGTTTTGCCTATACAGCTGATTCCTACCCCCATCTACCGATCTTTCCACTCTCCTGCCCTGTCTATCATACATCCGGTCACCCTCCTCCGTAACTTTCCCTTCAGCCTTGTCCTTTAGAAATTTAGGACACTGCAAGGCTTGATGACCCTCTTTCGTACAGAAGAAGCAGGATGTATCAAACCACTTCCTTGATCTCTTCTTCTCCCTTTGAGATCCTGGCGATGATGGCGCTTCGCTGACCTCCCTGCTCAACTCATGACTCTGTGGCATATCCAAAGACTCTCCTCCTATCTCCAACCCCTGGGTACTCGGCCCTGGTCGAACCCCAATCTCCTCTGGTTCATACTCAGGTGCGTCCAATCTCTGGGGCCTGCTCTCAATGACACCCTCTGTCTCAACCCTGCCTCTCCCTCAAGAGGCTCCTCTATCCTCTGTTCGGGCGAAAACAAACTCGTCTCCTCCTGCATGGTATGCACTGCCTCGAGGAGCACGTCCATGGATCCCTCCGCTGAGCCTTGAGCTGGCTCACTGCTAGACGGTGGTAGCCCCTCCTCAAGAGCCAATGGCATGACTGGGCCTGCCGCTACTATAGGTAGCGTCGTGAGTTCAGTAGGGTCTCTGAACTCGAAGGCCTCTCTCTCTGCCTCCCTCTGGGCTCTCCCCTCCTCTGGTTTCGGGATAACTCTTCCCATATGTGGCTCCTGGTGGGGCTCCGCTGCAGATGGTTGTCCTGGCAAACCATGCCCCGACTGCCTTTGCTATCCCTGTCGGCTGCTTTCGGCCTTGTCCTCTCTCCCTCGATGCTGCTGCCTCAAGTCCTTGATAATCGCAGCCTGACTAGCTACTAGAGCCCTGAGCTCCTGGATCTCTACTTCCATCGTCTCCAAACGTAGCCCATGACCCTCTTTTTTCATCTTCTTCCCCGCCAGATCGCTTTCCACCATCAGATACCGATCGAAACTGGTCTTTGCTAAGAACCTGATCTTGCGATCCAACCTCTCTTCTGCTTTCCTTGCCACCTCGAATCCAGCTCTTGTTGGGGAAGGAAGCCCCTCCCCCTTTTGCTCCCAGAAGTCTCTCCACATCTCTGGGATTTCAGGGGCCTTAGCTGGCGCGCTCGGTGGCTGATCCGGGAGCGCCCCTGCTGCCTCCAATCTCTGCCTTTCCTGCTGCTGCTCCGGAAGTGCCCCCGCTGCCTCCAACCTCTGCCTCTCCTGCCATATCTCTTCTATTCTCCTTCTTCTTCTCGCCCTTTTTTCTTCAGCTGTTTCGCCAGCTGGTGCCCTCTCCCTCGTGCGATGGTTGACCCTCTTCAGGATCTCTGCTTCCACCTCCTTCTCAGGCTGGCACAGCTCCTGGCGCAGCTCTGCAGGTGCTGGCTCCTCCAGGTCTGGGTGCTCCAGGGCATGAGCTGCTAGGTGCCTGGCAATCAAGGCCAAAGCTTCTCTCCTTACAGTTGCAGTCTCCTTCCTCCTTTCTGCTCTTCTCTCTGGCGAAAGAGCCTTTTCTGATGAAGGCAATGAGACCTCCTCTCTCTGCAATCCCTCAGCTGCCTGGCGAGTGCTCCCTGCTGTATCCCCAGGCCTCAAACCCACTGCTGGCGTCTGAGGGGGTGTGTCCTCTCCAACCTCTATCACGTCCTTCCCTGCATGCCTCCCCTCTTCACCCAGCCTCCTCTCTCCCTGATTGTCCCGGGCCTCCTCTCGTGGTACCTCCTCACGTGGCGCCTCCTCTGCCTGTCCTCCACGCTCCTCGCATCGAGGCGACGTTCCCCATCGAGAGACGTCCAGGTGCGTCTCCAACTCTCTCAGTGGCCCCTCAGATGCTGGCGCCCCCTCCTGTGTGCGCACTGGCGACCTCCTCAATCCACCCTCGACAAAATGATGGAACTCCACCGGTCCCAACCCACACTCATGATACGCCCCTCGCTCTTCAACCTCAGGCTCCGACTCCTCTTCTCTCCTGGCTAGGGCCTTCCGTCCCCCTCGAGATGCCCTTGCCTCGCTGGGCTCAGGGTCCCTCTGCCTCCTGCTCCTCTGGCGCCTCTCAACTCGGGGCCGAGGCGACTCTGGTCATCAAAAGGCCTCCCTCAAGTCTGCCCTGCAGCTCTCCCAATCTCGGGCCATATCTCTGATCTGCCTAGCCAGTGGCCTCTCCGCCTTTCTGGTCCAGAGGGGTAGCGTCCTCGCCCAGTCATCTCTTGGTGTACCTACCCCTGCATGAACCACTCGAAGGCGGGGATAAAGTCCGCCGCATTTCCGATCTTTAGGCGAATCGGTCTGCCATCAGGTCCCACAGGCGAGGGTCGTAGCTCCTGCATCCTCATCTCCACCTCTGGCCTCGTCGTCGCCTCCCTACGGATCCGGGCAATGGGCTCCTCAAACCTGTCAGCTCCCCTCAATTTCTCAATCGCCTGGGCCACGGTCCAACTCATACGCCTTGCATGCTCCCAGAAACTGTCCAGGAATAGCTCGATGTCCCCATCATCGGACACAGGAGTACTCTCTCGATGGCGAGGCCCATGCCGCTCATATCCTCCTGATGCCCCCAACGGCCTTCGTGGCGGCCGTGTCCCCTTCCCTCCTCTTGGCATGGTTGCACAACAAGTGAAGGAGACAACAGTCACACATTGGAGTAAGTAAACAGGTGATAATCAAAGCAAGCTCAGACCAGACCATACTCATGCAGCATGCAACCTATCTGACCTACACATCCTATCGCTTTTATTCTAAAGGAAGTCAAATGATCTCTCTCACCTCTTCCCGCGCCACAAATTTCTTCAGCCGCGTTCCAAATACCAAGTCCTTTCATTCAGTCCCATTCAACTCTTCAATCTGATATGCTCCAAAATCTCTACACCGCACGATCCGGTAGGGATCTAACCACCCCTTATGGAGCTTCCTGGACCATTGCTTCTCCAACGATGAATCGTACAGGAGTACGACGTCCCCAACTGCCAAGGGTACTTTCCTCACTCGCGCTGACTGATCCCAACGAGCCTTATCATCCACGCGGATTCTTTCCACCTGGTCAGACGCCTCCTGAATTTTTTCTTCTATTCCAGATCCTGGCGCCTGCAGGTCTTAAGAAAGCTCTCGATTGGGAAGGTGGCATGCCTTCGATACCACAACGTCGCCGGTGCGTACTTGGTGGATTTTTTCACTCTAATGTTCTCGACAAAGAATATTGCCCTTAGGTACCTTGGTCATTGATTAGGCCTACCTTCGGTCCATTTAGCCAAGAGGATTGTAATGGTACTATGCCCTCTCTCCACTGGAGTATTTGCCTGGGGGTGCGCGGCCGTGGTGTAGTTGGCTACTACACCATACCTTGATAGCAGTTCTTGCACCTCCTGGCAGGTAAACTCTGATCCCCTGTCCATTACGAATTCCCTGACGAAAGGATAACGCAGGGAGTATTCCTCGATACAACTAACCAAGACTTGCCCAGTCTTTGTACGAATGGCACGTCCATCTACGAAGTCAGACATGTTATCGCGCTCATCGAAGATGTAGTTATAGCCCTGGTCCCCAAGCGGCATGAAAAGTAAATCGAGATGCACTACAACCCCCACCTCTCACTCTAACCTTGGATGTAACGGCTCTCCTTGCCTCAAACGGGATCTCTCCTGGCAGGGTATGCAAGATCGACAAAACTTCCCAATCATGTCCATCATTCCATCCCAGTAGTACAACTTACTTATCTTGGCGTATGTGGCTTGTACCCCTCGATGCGCTCCTATAATGCCATCATGAAGTGTTGCTATGACGTCAATCTCTAAGCACCTAAGAAAGTTAGTTCGTCAGGATCAGGAATGGGTTTGGGGCGAAGAGCAGGAAGAGGTGGTGGCCAGAATGAAGGAAGAGTTTTGAGAAGGGGGTTTGGCGTTGGGGGCGCCAGACTATGATGCGACGGAAACGAGACCCTTCATTGTTGAAACGGATGCGAAACCAACTGCCTTAGGAGGGGTTTTAATCTAGGCAGACATGGAGGGAAAGGAAAGACCTTTGAGGTTTGAGAGTCGGACTCTCTGTACGACTGAGAGGGACTATTCTCAGTTCAAGAGGGAGACTCTTGCCGTCCTCCAGTGTCTGCGAATCTTCCGAAACTACATCTTCGGCAGAAGGTTTATATTGAGAGTGGACCCAACTGCCCTGGCCTACTCTCTAAGGAATTACATTCCATCGGATCCAACAGCTGTCAGGTGGCTGACGTACATCTGGATGTTTAACTTCGAGTTAGAACGGATACCTAGAAGCAAGAACCGGGCGGACGGGCTGAGTCGTATCAACTGGGATAGTCAAGAAGGAGAGGCGGTGGAGAATACGCCCCCAGTTGATGAATTTTTGGATCAAGAGAAAGATGTCCGTCTCCACATTAACAAGTGGTCGCCTCGAGTGCCCAGTTGTGTAGGTCATCGTATCTGGCAAGCGCCTAGCGGGTATGAACGGAAGGCGGAGCTAGTCCTTAAGCCTTTTGAGGAAAAGGATCCTTGAGTGATAAGGATGTTCAGTGGATGATGAAGTTGGCGTTGGCTGGATCGAATAGCCTAGTGGAAGATATGAGGGCAATAGAGGAAGGGTCAGGGCAGGTAGAAAGGCATGAGGAACTGATGGGAGCGATGTATCTCCTCGTCAACACACTACTGCAGGAAAGCCTCGATTAAGCAGACTCGTTGAATCCGGCGGGGAATGAGGACGAGGTGCACGAGAGCCAGGACGACGAGTTTGAAGAGGGTGAGATCAAAGAGGTTTTTCGTACAGAGGAGTATGAAGGGATCTACCTGGAGTTGGGGCTCCTTCTGTCATGCGAAGTACGACTTAAAGATGCGAGCGATGGGACTCAGAGGATGATGCAGCGCTACTTGGTGCGAGATAGCCATCTTTTCGTAAGGAGGGAAGTGGGGAATCCTAGGAGAGTCGTCTGCGGTAGGAAAAGTTCTTGACGAAGGCCCTCCAAAATCCGCACGTCCCAAGGAAGCTCCGGACATCAGTTATTGAGTGGAATGAGACTGGCCACTCAGTAATCTTGTCCGTCTTCTTTACATCCGGTCGTCGACCCTTCTTACTGCAGACGAACCCCAAGATAGTAGCTTCCCTCATGCAGTGTCTGGACTTGGCCCCGCTTGCCGTGAGGTTATGCTCCTCGAGCAGGCTCAGCACTTTCCCGAGGTCTTGGATATGCTTCCAAACAAAACGTCTTACCCTTGGCAAAACCTCATCACTCTCCTTCACTGCCGGCCCCTTCACCGCCAGATCATCGATATATCGCTGCGTGATATGAGGGTTGACCGGCTGCATGGCTCGTATCATGGCCCGTTGGACCATCGCTACTGCATTGTTCCATCCTTGCGGAGCCACACTCATGTGGATTAGTCCTCGAGGCGTATGCATAGCTATCACTGGCCTGTCTGACAGATAGACCGGAAATTGGTCACACCCTGAGTAGAGGTCTATAAGCGAGATTATAGGTCTTCCAGCACAGGATTCTGATAGCACGTCCGTGTTGGGCAACCCTCCCGCGTCCCGCACTGTCACCGCATTTAATCGCTGCAGGTAATGCACCCACCGCAGCGTCCCGTTAGGTTTGATCAAACAAAACCACGGGGACGCATACGACCCACTCGAGTAGTCGGCGACATGCGTGCGTATCTTGCCATCGAGGTAATCCACCACCTTCTTCTCCTCGTCAGGATTAAGATATTGCGCCCCTCTTAAGTTCCACGGTTCATGTGGCACGGTGTGGATGCGGATCATAGGTATTTTAACCACATCCAACCTGTCGCGCTCCTCGTCGCTAAACGCATAGGCGCGATGCCTCTTCTTCATTAACTCCACCATCAAGGCTCGAGCCTGAGGTAATGGGAAGTCGGGCTCTCCTATGATCAGCTCCTCCTTGTTCCCTTCATTGATACGGCATGACCCTGCTGAGGCTCTCTCCTTCATTCGCCGTATCAACCCCCGTTCTCGTTCATAGTACACCTCCTCGTCCTCAGTAACGAGGACGGGGACTGGCGGCACTTCTAGTCTACCGTCTTGTACCGCCTTTGGGAACCCTGCTTGAGCCGCCCCCTAAAAAAGACCGACTCACAGATTGCACCTGCACCAACGTCGGGACCCTCCTGCCATCCGGAAGACGATACACCAACTCCAGTCTCAATGCCTCAGGACACTCCAGGACCTGCTCCCTTAATGCCTGGATGGCATCCGGATCTGCCATCTCATGTGCGGCCACCAAATCCATGACCTTCCCCACGTCCAACAAGCTGAGGGAGAATGCTTCAACCCTCTCTTCCTCCCCCGGTTCCGCCCGGAGCCTCCGACGCTCGCCCTCCAACTCCTTGATTGTGAAAGACCCTGGATTGGGTCGGTTCCTTATGCTTTTTGGCCCTGTATTCCTGCAGGTGACTACTTCATAATTTCCGCAGGCAGGATCACATAAGAGAAGGATCAGAGTCCCATCATGCTTATTGAATATCACCGTCTCTGTCCTGCTCAGAAAGGATCCCCCTAAAAAAATCCCGTGATCCACGTCCGGCATGACGAAGAAGCATGCCCTAGCCTTTACTTTCCCAACCTCTATGAACACATTTGAGGCTGTCCCACATAACACGGCCTTGCAGCTTGCCCCATGTAGACTATCGCAGTCAGATCGGTCTATATCCAGTCTGAACCTGATGGCATCTGCCTCCCGGATGATATTCATTTCCGCCCCTGTGTCCACCATCGCTGCAGACTTAGAGCCCTTCACTACCAAATCCACAGTGCCGCAGGCCACACACTTCCAGTCCATCTTCGTGCCCGACTCTGCCCACTCCGCCTCCTTGGGCAGGCTCGTACCCAGATGGACGTTGGGCACCAGACGCCACGACAACCTCCCCTTCAATCCATCCCGAAGCTTAGGGGCTGACGCCAAGATTTCCTTCAAGGTCATGAGGTCGTTAGGCCTTCTAACAACCTGTCGATCACCTTCTCTACATCAAACCCTTCTTCCAGTCGGACCACATATTTCTTCTTTTTAGGCGGCACATCGTGTAAGACCGGCTCAACTCCTTCCCTGGCCTCTCTTTTCTTAGCCCTTTGCTCCGCCCTCCGATCCTCTTCCTGGCGCAGCCTCTCATCTTCTTCCTCCTCGTCATCATCATCCTCCACTTCCACTGCCTTTTTCCTTCCTCCCGGCTCAGGCTCTTTTCGGGGAGGTTCCTTGCTAGCACTGGCCTTGGCTCGACTTCACCTTCGCGCTGCCTGCGCCAGCCGGGCCTGCGGGGTAAGCGGTCCCATCACCATCCCCGTTCGTGGGCCCGACCCCACTACATTTACTCCGGGTCGCCCGGACGCCGACTCCGGGCCGGAGTCATAAAGGAACACCTTGGGGACGTTAGACCTCCATTCCCTTATTCCCTCACAAAGGTCCACCAACTTCTGTTGGTACCTCCCCATCTTGCTCAACAGGTCCTCCATTTTCCCCAGCTAGGCGGACGGAGGTTCTATCTTTTCTTCCTCATTCTCATCGTCCGACTCGATGATTATGGGCTCTTCCCTCTTACCTCCCTCTCGTAGCCCCTGAGTTACTTCCTCATCACTCCCCACTTCCTCTACCCCAATTGGTGGTCCTTCCTTCTCTTGCCATAACCTGAATGTGGCAGAGGGTGGCGGTGCGGCTGCCTCTCTTCGTTGTGCCTCCGCGCTCACTCCGCCAAGCTTCCTATCAATAAAATCTTCAAACTGGTCATAGATGTTTCCATCCATGGTGGAGGAATCAGCCCGTTCTTCTTATCCTCCCGCCTTATGTTACAGAACCTAATAGTGTGACCCTGCTGGTTGCAATGTTGGCGGATAGCCGACCTCCAGTCAAAGCGGGCTCTTCCGTACCCCTAACCTCCTTGATCCCCCTGGCCTTGGTTCGCCTGGCCTTGGCTCCCCTGGCCTTGGCTATTCCATTGTCCTCCTCGGCCGCCGCCATTCCTGCCTCGCCCCCTTTCACCACCCCTTCCTCCATTGCCTTGATTGCCCTGACCCTGGTTCCCACCCCCAGCCACGCTCCCTTGCAAACGAGGAGCGGGTGATGGCGGCGGGGCCATAGGCTGGGCCTGGGCTGCAGGATAGATAGGGGGCGGCATACTCGTTTGCGGCCCAGCATAGGGTACCACCTGTCCAGAAGGCGCCGGCCCTCCCCAAGGCACGTAGGTGTTGATCACGGGTCATGGCCACTGCCCAAAATGTGGTATTGGCAACTGCGAAGGGCCCGCACTACTCGAAGGTGCCGACGCACTCGGGGAGGCAGATACCACCGCTTGGGGTATCTGGCCCTTTCCCGAACCTTGCCCCCCTTGCGTCAAATTGCGCTGCTTACGCTGCACCTCCGAGAGGTCCTCTCTTCTTCCCACCCTTCCTTGGCAGCCTCCTCGATCACGGTCTCTTTGGCCCTTCCCTGAATTGTCGTTGCCACCTTTCTTTGTATCACCGGGTCTAACTCTGTTAATATGTCGGTGATAATTTTTCTTACCCCTGGAGTCCCGGATGCCGTAGCATCCCTCTCCTTCCTCTTCTGTCTTTGTAACCGTACCTTGTGCTGCTCCACCTGGTATAAACTCTCATCTTCCACCCCTTTATCAATGGTGGCTCAGGTGAGCTTAGCACTCCCTCCTCCATGACTTGTAAACTCATGGGCCTCTGACGCAGTAAGCAGTCCCAAAAAGATGGCACACTGCGTCTCCTCTGAGATCCCGTGGACCTTCCTTGCCCTCTTCTTGAATTCTTGTACAAAGGTCCCTATCGTAGTGAAGTTATCTTTGTTCATTGCCTTCAGGTCTGCCGTGGTTAGCAGGCCATCGCCCAGCCTGTACTTTCTTTGCATTCCCTCTTTGAACTTGGCCCAATTGTCGTTGGTATCGTTAACCACCCTCTGCACCTCCTTATTGTGCCCATAAAGCACATATCTCATGATCCGCTGGAATTTCACCGCATCCGCTAGTCCCACTATTGCTTGTTCCACCCGATCCAGCCAGTCCGAGACTCTTTCTCCATTGAAGTGAAAGGTGTCGACCTTAGGGACATTGCTTGGAGTTTCCTCATGTCGGTCAATGGCCACAATAAGGTCCTCGAGCGTCAGGACCTTCCTGGTGCCATCCGATACACCGCCGCTCTCCGGCATCTTGATAGACTTTTCTCTTCAAGCTCCCTGTCAGAAGAAAAACAAGGACACTCGCCTACTCAGCATCCTATCTCAAAAGGGTTTATCCTGTATGTCCTCTCTTGCTTCCTTATATACTTATCTGACACGGATACGGCCATCCCTCGTAGCGTTCCTAGCTCAGGTAGGTAAATAGGACCAGCGTTGTCACGCGGGGATCCCCGGGGCCCAAGCCGGGGTAGGGGTTTCAACCCCGGACCCCCGCCGCGGGGCTACCCGACCCCCGCCCCCGCAAAAACAACCCCGGCCCTGCCCCAACCCCGCCACCCCCGCTCCCA